ACTCTCATCGGTTCGAATTGTCAATGGAACTTTGCCCAGTGCATACCTATCAAATTTTATACATCTCTTATTAAGAAGTTAAAAATAAAAAAATAAAAATTCTATTAGAATGAATTTAACTTAAATTCTATGTGGGTTAACCGCTTATTGCTTAATTAATAACTGCATGTGAATAATGTACTTATTTTTCGGATAACTCACATTTCAGGTTGGTATCCAGTAAACTTATGAATATTGCTTTGCGGAAAGGCAGGATGCTTATTTTCCATGTTTAAAACAAAGTAAATATTTCTGCAGTAACTAAACTTTTTTAAACTGAGACTAATTGATATAAGTATTAAAAGTTTTAAGTGGTTGATCTCCAAAACCACAAAATGTTCTAACTTTACCTTTTAATGAAATAAGATTAGAAAATAGAAATAAAAGCATGCATGTTTTAGTCATAATGTCAAAAACAACCAGTAAACGTAGTGATTACAATCGCTTTGAAAACAACAGTCAAATAAACGTAGTGATTACATTCTCTTTGGTCAGAAATCTCAAAATTTGTACCTAAATTGGTTCGGTAAGTTGGTAAAAGTTACGGCCTGTTAAAGGGATATCGAAAAGACATCGATATATCGACATTTTTCGCCTATATATTTGGATCCAATAAGTTGATATAAAATATTCAATATCAAAATTATAACAAAAATTATATTTTTTCAAATTCTTATCCGGCACAGGTCCGTAAATGTCAAATATATACTTACTTTTTGTGCGCAATGCACGTTTCAGTGTGCTGGATTGGTAAAGAAACAAGAATGTCGTGAAGACAGAAAGAACACTGTTTATTTTCAGACGTTTGTACAAGTTTTTTCTTATGCAATAAAACGTTCTTCTAATGGCTGCAGGCTCCTCCTCTTCCAGGCTGCAGGGCTTCTTTCTGCTGACTTCTTCTAGTTGCTTGTTCCACTGGTAGACCTTGATGCTCGTCGACTGCGATGATGCCCCGAAACGCCGCTATATTTATGCGATCCTGTGGGAATTAATTCCTGCTCTCTGATTGGTTGTCGTATTGGTATCCAATCAGAGAGCACACACACACACACACGGGTCGTCCACACACTGCCCTAGGAGTCGGGCAGGTGCAGGTACGGGCATCGGGGAATTGTCAGAGAGCTTACATTTTTTCTTTGGCACCCTCTTGGTGCATTACCTTAAAGAATCGAGGTCTTATGACTAGATTACAAATAATTAAATTTAATGTTTTATCAATTACGATGACACTATGAAAATACACTTTTTCCCTAATTATTTTATCGCACTAATTTCACAACATATGTGTTAATAGTCATATAAAAACAGTTATACAATTAAAATCTTATAGTATTTCATTATACAGATATTTTTATAGACAATCTAAAATAAGCAAGTTTTAAGCAAGTTTTAAGCAATTATTTCGACTTACGTTACGTGAATTAAATAGTAAATTACTTATACAAACACTATTAAACTAAGCTATCCCGCACACTTTTTTTTTTGGAAAACGGGTCCTAACTAGAGAAAATATTAATAAATAGATAAATGGATTAATTAATTGTGTATGCATCGGAATGGTGGATTTCCTTATTGCTAAATTGTAATATTAAATTAATTTTTTTCAAAATCGTCCGATTTTCTTACTTTGGGTTATGTTCTCTATTGATTTAAAATATTCATAATTATGTAAAAATTGTCCATGCCGCTAATCATAAACAATTTTAAATAATTACATTTGTATTTTCATTATTAAAAATTGAGCTCGAGTGATACAAGAACAACTTGCCGTAAGAAGAATAAGAACTCGTGCAATTTTCTAATTTTCAATGATCTAAGCAATTTTTTGTTATTTTTATTAAATAATGAATATAATTTTCATTATCAAATCTTGAAAATCTAACCTAATCAAAACTAAATAGGTGATAAAATTAATAAAATATTACTATAATACAAATAAAGTAAGCATTTATTTAAAAACTAAATTAGATAAAAAAAGCTGGCCAAATCGCTGCCGTCTGTGGGTAGCGTACCCACAGACGACAGCTGTATCGCGAGACTGATTCATAGGTCAAAGTACGAGCCAGCTCTTGGGTCACCAGAAATGGTAACCAGACACGAGCAGATATCTTTGTACAAACGTTTTGCGTCTAGTCCCCGCGGCCCGAGTGTCGCACAACCCCGGCGCACCAAATTTCACAAATATATAGTTATTTTTTGTATGATAATTTTATTAAGAAATAGTTACGAAGACCTGAGCCGTGATAGCTCAGTGTCCGAGCGCTCGCCTTTAATTCAATATACTCGAGCATTTTTAACGAACTTTAAATTATCGCGTGCTCCGCAGCGAAGGAAAACATCGTGAGGAAACCTGCATATTTTCGACATAATAAAAAAATTTTTTTTGGAAGATATGTGAAGTGGTAGTGGTGGACTATGCCCTGATACCCTCTGTATATAGGAGGCCTTTGCCCAGAAGTGGGAAATGTTGATTGGTAATCTCAGATTATACATACTCTTTTGATGTCAACTGTGACCTGTTTGATTTATGTATTATGTTTGAATTATTTTAAATTTGGAATGTTAGTTTTATTTGTTCAGACTGAATTTTGTCATAATTGATTAATTCCGCTAAAATCGTTTGGAGAAGTAACATGTCTAGCTATATGACATAACTCTTGTATTTTACATAAATTTCATAATGATTACGTTTGGTCTAAAAATAAGTTCAAAATGTTTAAGTTGAAATAAATAGCTTTCTTATCAGTCCTTAAGTGTCTTTTTGGCTTGAAAATGATCCCATTAGCCACATCTACCATTCAACAGGAAATGTATAGGCTGTTACTATACAATACTATACTATACTATACTATACATTGGCGTATCTAGGGCTATTTATCAGGGTGGACCTGGGCCCTTACTACAAAAAAAATCGCATCTGGCTGAACTGACTAGAATCACAATTGCAGCTTGAATTAATTTAAAAAGATTTGGGGATAAATCTTGTTCAGCGTGTTCCTTAAGAACTTAAAATTTAATATTATTTTCTTTAATTACGTTTCTTATAATTAAGCATTCTGCTTCTAGAAGGGTGCTATTAATTCGAAGAATGTCTTCGCAATTATCTATAAAATGCCTTCCCATTTCCGAGATCTATGTTTAAAAACGCATCTATCGATTGGGCCATAGGTACACTTTCGAATCTGCATTTCATGGTAATTATACATAGGGCACACTAAAAGTTTCCGGAACTGGCCACTTACAGAAAAAATATTTAAAAAGTAATTACAGCATTTGAAAATGGAACTCTTTGACTGTAGAATGCAGTTTGTTTCATCTGACTATCAAATGTTTTTACATTGTAGCGCCATTTTTAAAAGTGTGTGTCTACATTAACATGGATTTAACTCGGGAAAATTTTCAAAAATTTAAATTTCAAGTGTAACTAGATAGTTCAGCAGAGCCTCGCTCGGCTTCAAACTGCTTTTGGCGATGAAGCAGCATGCCAGAAGACTATTTATGGTTTGCGAAAGGGCGGTCGTGTCAATCTCGCGATGGTCGCCATTTCACGGCTGTGAACAACAAAAACATCGATGCTGTGCGCCGTATGATCGAAACAGATAGGCATGTGACCTACCATGAGATTCGGCCATCTTTCAATGTCTAAAGATGCCCAATCTCATGGTGCAATGCCATGCTTACCAGATTCAACGAAGGGGCATCAAATGTGGTGTGGGACAAAGTAACAGATTTTGATTGATGAAATGAACAGATTGATGAAATACGCGTTTTTATTTTGATTTTGTAATTCCCGAGGTTTCGAACCCTTTACAGTGGTGGTTTCACAATAATTTGTATAGGTTTCCATTCTATACACAGTTGGCCCAAGGTGTTCTTAAGATTTCGGATCACAAATACATTTAGAAAAGCTAGGGAGTTACATGTCTATACTTCCATACCACAGTTCTAGATTCCACCTTCATTTCTTGCACACCAAAATTAATTCACTAAGGATATATTTCTCATTAGATTGTGCGTTAAATGTTCGTAGCTTTTCCCCAAATTTTGTGTGGAAAAAGGCTGACATGGTCCAGTTTGAAGTGAACCTCATTTATAATCATTTACTGCGGAATTTGTATAATCAAAAGATGTACTTGGTACTAAAAGTGGCACTGGCACTGCTGCTGGGGAAGTTATTGAAGACTTTTCATCCGTGATTCTCTCAAGAGATTGCTGATCGTTTTATATAGATTTGTTAAAGAAAGATCGTCCATATTTTTTTTTTTCATTTTATTTTAAAGCTGCAAGTCGCTTTGCGTTGTGTTCTAGCTTATAGTACGTCGTGTATTCAAAAGTAAATAAACCGTATGTATAGTATAAGAATGTTAAATAATTATGTACTATATATATAATTCTCGGCTGTAAATAATTATTTGATTTCAATGATTTTTTGTGAAGTTTCATAGGTGTTCCAGAATTTCGAATCAGTTACCCAAAATCCTGGGGTGGGCACTAGACTAGACGATACTGGGGTGGGCACGGCCCACCCCGCCCCCCCGCCCTGTTATATACGCCTATGATACTATACTAAGTAAGACCTTACTGTTTCCAGATTTAACGGGATAAATCTGTAAACATAGTTTCATTTAATAATGTGTAATCGCGTAATTATAAGAAATTACTACTACATTACACATTTATTTCATTATATTTAAAAAGAAACTAAAATTCTCATTTATGTATGTATGTCTCAAATGTACTAAAATTTCGTCACATTTTCAAACATTATCTGGTTCATCTGTATAAAAAAATAATTATATGCATCTGTTAGAAACAATTATTTGTCATCTGTGACAAGTAAAAGCAAAACTGAGCAAAACGATTCGTTCATCGTTTGTATGAAGTAACAAGTATGGGTTATCATTGGTTTTAAAAAAATATATTTTGTGACTCATATTTTAGGATAGGCTATTGATTAAACTATGTCTAAAAATATTGTTTTTGAGGGTTGGTTAACAAAATCACCCCCTAATAAACGAATTTGGAGAACGGTAAGAAAATCTATATTCTATTTTCAATATTGACAGATTGTGACTGCGCGGTTGCTTCGATTCATTGTAATTTACTTACAATATATTCATTTTTGATGAATTGAGTACCGTAATATTGGGTGTTTAGTAAAATGTATTTGCTTATATATTTATAATTATCATATAATATTTGTTAATAGAAATGGCGGAGAAGGTGGTTTGCCTTGCGTCAGTCGGGCGAGCTCCCTGGGCAATATTTTCTAGACTACTATGCGGACCGGAATCGCAGGCGACTCAAGGGCACCATCAACTTAGATTTATGTGAACAGGTATTAAATAATTTGAATTTTTTTGTGAAGTACTTTAGAATTAATTAAATTATTAAAATGTATTTATTAAAAATATGCATTTATATATATATGGACTCCATAAAAATCAATATGTTATAGTTATTTCTATTTTTCATGAAACTAATATTACACAACATTATTATTTAAACTACTAAAAGTTTATTGATGCTATGAGAAGGGTGAATTTTCCTTTATTTATTCACCTCATTTGCATTACTAAACCTTGTTTGGGATAGGTTGATGCAGGATTGCATATGGAACGTAGCAGTAACGGCACACTGGATCCAAAACTCCGGGGCTCCGTCTTTACTATTCAAACTCAGTCACGGACATATCACTTGGAGGCGGACTGCGAAGCAGACATGGCCAAGTGGGTGGATGCTATTTGCCGTGTTTGTGGTTTGCAACCTAAAGATAATTCAGCAAATGTTGTGGGTAAGTATTGATTTTAGTAATAACTTTGTTGTTTTTGTGAATTTTATTGTATTTTTAATTTTTTTTGGATTCTTAATTTCCTACTTTAGTATCATTTTAATCATTAAGTAAGATTTAGTAAATTGTGAGTGTCTAATGCATAGCGAAAATATAGCATTTTCTGGAAAGAAAATTATTAACTTTGAAAATTAGGTGGATGTTACACATTTAACATTTAACATTTAATTTTAAAATTATATGTCTTAGTAATTACTCATTGAAATTTATTTATTTAATTTTTCTATGTGAATGAATAAAAATAGTTTAATTTCTTTTTTTTAGTTGTTTTTTTAGCATTGCGAAAATATTTTAAATTAAAATGACTTGTGAAAATATTGTAATTAAATTACATTAATTATAGTTGTTCTTATTTTAATTTACAAATAATGTGTCTTCATTTTTTAATTTGTATGCTTGCGATAAAAATTATTACAATAATTATTGGATATAAATAATTTTTTGTCAATTGTTAATGCATTTTAAATGTTGTTTAAAAGTAATAGATTATTGCTTTATAAATTTTAAATGCAAGTGAATAAGTAGTTTTTCTATTTCATTCTTATTGACTTCAACTCACTGATTTATTTAGAAGATTATGTTTGTATTTTTGAAATTTGAAAAGCCTGCATTTTAAGTAATTACTATTTATATGCTGATTAAGGTGTTTTTCATTATATGTTTATACTGCTATGTTTTAGTCTCATGCAGTAACTATGATCATAGTAGGCAATTTAAATTGTATAACATTTGTACTTTATTCATAAGTTTTACAATTATGCTATGCTAATACCTATTTTTTTCAAAAAAATGTTCTAAATAAATCAATATGCTTTAACTCTGATAGTTTACAATACATATCTTTCAGATACCTATCAAAATGATTTTCAAATGACAACAATGAATGAACAGTATGAGCGTACAGATACGCCTAGTCCTTACATACCTATATCTGAATGTATTACTGGAGTGCGAGCTCAGGTACTTCCAAAGATTGTTGCTTGTTTGATATGCTTTTAGTAACAATTTATATACATGCTTGGTGAATTCTTGATATATTTATGTTTTTATTAGTGCCCATTCAGTATGGGGTATATTTATGTAATCATTTAATGTTGAATGGAAAATATTTCAGAATTCCCAGAGAGCTTTCACATTTGACCCAAAGAATATAGTAATCAGTACTAGAAGGCCATTAGAGAGAGTCTCCAACAGAAGCCATCAGATGTACAGGAGCCAACCACACATTAGGCTCAATAATCCAGAGTTCTCTGAGAATGACTCTAACCTAAGCGATGAGGATTGCAAGTCTTTGAATGCTAGTCATTCCAATATCAGTATGTCCAACTAGTTGTTTATTTTTTTGTTTAATATTAACACAGCATTTTTATTTATAAAGCTACATATGTAATTATATGTTCAATTCATTATACATATTTCTTCAAATTATACATTTAATTTTTTTTCCGCAGGGGATTGGGCTGTTTCAAAATCTTTTACAAAATCAGCTTCACAATCGCAGAGGAATGGACAGTACCATCATGGTCTGTACTTATTTCCAATTATTAAAGGTTTTGAAACTTCTTATGTTTATAATAAAATTTGTTTGACACAGGACCACCTGTTCCTCCAAGGCCACCAAAGACTTTTGCAATGAGTAAAGAAGCAACACTCAAAAAGAAATTGCATAGTTCTAAAATTGCTGAAACAATTGATACACATGAGAGTGTGGTAAGTTAATATAGCTTATTGTCAAACATAATTGAAAATTTCAATAATAATTTAAATTATAAAACACTATTTTTTACTATTTTTTTGCTTATTATATAATGGTTTCATTTAATAAACATGTGATAAACCTTATCTAGTACCCAAATAAAAATACATTCAAAAATATTTCAATGTAGATTGTCCAGCATGAATTTTATTACATAATCTGGAATTATATCATCTTAGCTGATCTTTAGCTGGGTGTACATAAGCATCTTGTGGAGTAGTTTACAATTTTTATAAAATATTGTGCTTATTGATAGTATACACTATAATATTAACATTGCTATTGTATAGATTTTGCATGAATAAATTTTTGACCTTTTTGATCTTGCACCCAAAGCTAAACGATCAAGTCACCATGGAAATTGATACCCGCTACTGTTGCATTCCTTATGCAGATTTAAAAGTGAACGTCACACCCAAGACAATGTTTATGTGAATGTTTCATTTCAAAGGCAAAATGCCTGTTTCATAAATATAGATTCACAGTACATAATGTTTGATGATATGAAAAGACTAATTTGCAAATGTTTTTATACTCATAAATTTGTCTGTTTTAAATGAAAACACTACTTTTAGTTTCTAACAGGTTACATATTATAATATGTTTTATAGCATAATTATGTTTAGTGTTCAAAACGATAAAAATTTGGACGCAACAGACTTATTAATGTTTGGTATGTTGGCGATGGCAACACTGTTTACCGGATATGACGTTATCTACTCGAGCTAAGGGACACATGGTCGCATAGAGCAGTGGTCACTTGGATTTCGGCTGCGTTCCCGGACGGTGATATAACCACTAGTGCTGCTTATCGTTATAATAGTTGTTAATATTCAAGTTCAGTTATAGTTAAAATATTAGGATCAAGGTAAAAACGTTAGAACTCTTGTAGGTAGGTTGTGGAAGCTTGTTTTATAAATGTATATTGTACTTGAATTACTTGTTCCCTATGCAGTTTCTGCAACCGCGCCAGTCTGAAGTGATTTGTCACCAACCACGACGTCGCGTAATCCAGGCATGCCTTGGGGATAAATATCAAATTAATATTAATACATGTTTAGAAGTTTGTTTGCTATTGTCAATCCTAACTTGAGTTTGTGTGTGCGCTCAGATAGATCGGTGATAGTTCGGTAGCTTAATTATTGTGTTTAATATGGTATTTATTGCTTTTAGATTTATGCCCAGTTTCCGAAAGTTCAATCAAAGCAGCAATCACATAACAATATGTTAAAAATTATCTGCCGTCAATCTTTTGTTAAACTGCCATGGGTTTCTGAAAGGCCCGGGTCATGAAAAATTAGCTAATCACCCTTTCACCAATGATAATGAATGTAATCACTGACTTATGTCAACGAATCTTAATTCTCCTTTGATATTGTACAGCTTTCTCTTTTTCAAAATAGTAAAAACAACCTCACTGAAACATAAAATTATATTATCTTATATATAAAAAACTCGAGAATGGCTGGACCGATTTGGCTAATTTTGGTTTTGAAATATTTGTATTATATTTGGCAGTCCAGGGAAGGTTTAAACGATGAGAAATAATGGAAAAATTGTATGGAAAATCGAAGTAGCTACAGTTTTATTTTCCCATACAAACTGTACCTGTCAACCTGTCAACTAGATCTGTGTAACCTGTGTGTTCAGATTGACAAATTCCCTAGACATAATGTATAAGGAAAAACAGTATTTGCCGAGTCGAATTTTTGATTATTTTATTTTCATTATTACGAGTAATAATGAAAAAAACGAATTAAAACAGTCCCTTATTAATTCAATGGCCATCGGAAGTAACGGTTTGTGCCTTGATGGCTTGTAGGGTGACATTCTTTCCAGTTAAAATAAAATCGGGTACTGACCGGCGTTACGGGGTGTAATGTAACTCGTGTGCTTTAATGCAGTCAGTAGATACGAATTACGATTTTCTATAGTTTGTATCTATTTTATGTTCTTTTGCTCAAATCACATTAACGAGTTGTTCAAAATCAATCGGAGACATGGGCCAAACGACAACCACAAGAAACGTTGCTTTTCGTAAACTAGTTTGATATCCAATAACGTTTAATTTTGAAGTTTTCGTCGAAGTGAGCGTGTTACACTAAACGTGTAATGAATGTTAAACTACGATTGGTCGGCAAATACATAGATTAGCTAATCAATTTTTGACAGGTCGTCGATAAAGGAAGAACGCCTCGAGAAACTTGATTTTCTGCTTATGGTCCGTTAGTCAGTCATTAATCACAAATCAAAATCACCGTTGTTTTCAGGCGTTCTACAAAATCAAATAATATTAAACAACAATTAACAAGAGATTAATCAAAATCGATTGACCTTTCCGATGAATATAAATAACAATGCATGAATATAAATAAGTATTTGAGAAAAAAGAAATTTAGACTGATGGTTAATTTTAAATTAAAAGAAATTAATAAACACAAATATTCTTTTTTTGTAATTTATGTATATAAAGTTTTATGACAATAGTTTTATTAATGATAAATATGCAGCTATAAAATAATTTCAATATAATTTTTTAGGATATTAATTTATTTTAGTGGCGCATATATGTTTATTTGGTTATACGCCACTGGAACAACAAACATTTATTTGGTGGTTGAGTGGTATTGCCTTTCCAGTGACGTATATTGTTAATAATAATAATTTAACTGTTATGATATGTCATGATCACTTGCTTTTTATTTTGTTTCGTTTTTAAAACGCTTTATTGATATCCCCATTGTTTACCGGTTATCTTTGCATGTACAACTCAATAAAATGGCGCTATCAAGGTCTGATGGTGTTTTCACAAAGAGGTGTCACAAGCTGTCTCATTTTTCGTTGTTCAGTTAATTGTGGCTTTTAGCTGGTTTGTTTGAGCAATCCTTCAATGTTTAGGACTTTGTTCATTGAATTATTTTCAATAATAGGTTAGATTGGATGTTTAACTTCATAAATGAATACTGTACGGTTTCTCCCATATATTTTATACTACCATTTGTGATTTAAACATTTATTGCCTAATGGTTTGCCCATATTAATATTTTAGTATTGACATAGTAAACGATTGTCGGCAAAGTACTTAGCCAACGGTCACCATAACACATTTCATAAGAACGCGAGAGCGTCTATGTGACTAAATATATTTTTGATTTAGATTTTTTTGATTTTGAACAAGACCATAGAAACCATAGAACTGTTCGGAGTCTTTAGTGCAGTACAAAATATATATTTCGTTAGGGATCGTTTACGAACACTGGTTTACGTTTTTATGGTGATGGTTTAATACTGAACAGCTGTTCGTGTTTAGGGCCCGCCGAGCGTCAGAGCACCGGGCCGGTCGTCTGTTTGCGGTGGTCCGCCTTCGCCAGCACGTGCTCATCTTGTTCGCACTACTGACGATGAAGAGGAATTCTCCGGTCAGTTGGTAAGCATTCGCAACCCAAAAAATTTTTTAGTTTTTTGTTTCATACATCTGTTTTGTGTCAAATAAGTGTCATCGTTTCTTTCTTTTCGTTTGTTCTTCTTATTGGGCGCGTTCGAAAAGACTGGTTGCAGTCATCAGACGAAATGCAAAAGTGTAAATGCTACGTTTTTCTGTGCGCTGAACTCCTCCGCCCCATTTGCAGTGCTTCCATCGCAATGCGTTCCTTTGAGTTTGCTTTATTTTCAGTCGATGCAGTACTGCAACTTGCTAACACTGCCACCAGCCGTGGACCGCGCTTTGAAGCCCCGCCACTCCAGCCACAGTATGGGGCACGTGAACAATCTCGGGATACAGGTAAAGTACTACACGTTATTGTTAGATCACTAATTATTTTAATTATATAATTGTGCCGTCTGCGCATACTGTGAGCAAGTCATTAGTTTTGAAATTGGACTAAATTTGAACCATAATTTCCATACAATTTAGGCTGCAGATTATGACTCCTCAATGCCATTCAATCAGGAACATGGTGAAATTTCTTCTTTTGCATAACCCGCATATGTGGACGCCTCATTGAAATTACTTTATAAATAATTGATTATATTTAAATTTAAGAATGTTTCCCTTAATAATGTTTGAAACTTAGCCATGACATTCAAAAGATGGTTGAGAATTTTTCGAACAATTCTCTTACATTTCCTCCAGTTGCGTTCTTTGCCAACCATTGAAGAAGTCAACGAAGATGAGAGGTCACCCGTAGCCATCTCATTCCTGACCCGTAGCCATGCATCCCGCTAAATTTGATATAGTTATTTTTTAGGGAACCGCAAAAGCGTATAGCATAAGAATATGTTTTCTATCCTATTTTCCTTGTAAAAAATATGGAACTAATAAAAAAATTGTTGTGCCTAAATAATCTCGAATTCCTTATTCGATTGTTTAACTGCCTACTGTTTGGATAAATATCTTTTAATCCCGGTAAAAGATATTTTGACAGACCAACTTATTCATCTATATCATCAGCGCAAATTGGTCATTAATAGTATATGATACAAATACCTCTATTTTCTATATAATTCATTCTATTCTCTGCTTTTTATTAACAATAATCACGCCTAATTTCAGAAACATTGATCATTATAAAAGTTAACTAATCAGCGGTCAAATGCCTTTTCAAATGTCATTTGAGTTGCCAAAAGGATGGTTAAACTCTTTGAACTGACCATTCCGATCATTAAGACCATCCGGATCAATTCTGAGAGTTTAACACGTCTGAGAGTTTGATATTTGAATAGCTATTTGACAGCTGATTAGTTAACTTCTACGATGATCAGTGTTTCAGAAACCGTGCGTGAGTCCCTTTTTGCCATTTGTGATGACGAAGACCAATTTCAAATGGTGATATGAGCGTACATACGATATAATACGATATAAGTTTGTGTCAACATAATTTGTACTACATTTTCTTTCTTTTCAGTTATAATGCTATATAATTTTTTTAAGTATTCTTTTTCTTCTGTGCCGTCTTTTTCGTCAAAGGATTTATAGTAAAGTATTATTATTTATATTGACGCATTTTCATACATAGTAATCTCTGCCCTATTTGGTATCGCTTTGGCGGGGCTTTTAATAATCCTTTTCCCGTTACGGACGCCTGCGGACTGTCATCCTGGTACAAAGAAGCTTATGCGAAAGAAGTGTCACGGGACATTTTACTACTTCTACATTCGTGAACGGCGCGAAATTTTAAGATAAGTGCAACATTTCATCATGTTGTGTGATATTCACCTGTGACGGCTAACGTAATAAGCCCTGTGACGGCTAACGTAATAATAAGCCCTGTGACGGCTAACGTAATAAGCCCTGTGACGGCTAACGTAATAAGCCCTGTGACGGCTAACGTAATAAGCCCTGTGACGGCTAACGTAATAAGCCCTGTGACGGCTAACGTAATAAGCCCTGTGACGGCTAACGTAATAAGCCCTGTGACGGCTAACGTAATAAGCCCTGTGACGGCTAACGTAATAAGCCCTGTGACGGCTAACGTAATAAGCCCTGTGACGGCTAACGTAATAAGCCCTGTGACGGCTAACGTAATAAGCCCTGTGACGGCTAACGTAATAAGCCCTGTGACGGCTAACGTAATAAGCCCTGTGACGGCTAACGTAATAAGCCCTGTGACGGCTAACGTAATAAGCCCTGTGACGGCTAACGTAATAAGCCCTGTGACGGCTAACGTAATAAGCCCTGTGACGGCTAACGTAATAAGCCCTGTGACGGCTAACGTAATAAGCCCTGTGACGGCTAACGTAATAAGCCCTGTGACGGCTACCTGTGACGGCTAACGTAATAAGCCCTGTGACGGCTAACGTAATAAGCCCTGTGACGGCTAACGTAATAAGCCCTGTGACGGCTAACGAGAACATCAACAAAATCATAGACAATAATTTCACAAAGTGATATTCTTATAAAATAAATCACTGAAACAGGTACTGGGCCGAAATAAAATTTCTGTCACATGGTTGATGGTTATGAATTTATTTCAAAAATAAATAATATCGGTGAGAGAATCGCAAAGTTATCGAAATAAGGTTCAGAATTTAAACCATGGTGGTGTGATGCATTTAAAAAAATCTATTTGGTTTAGTTTACAATTAAGTATAAATATCTTGAATCGTGAATCCGCGAAGGAGTATCGGTGAAGGAAAGCAAGCAACGTCTCTCAACGTGGTATAACCTGCATAAATAATAACATAAAGATATATATTTTGAAGACATAATAATTATAGTAAGCCTATCCACAGTGGGGACGCGTGGTAGTCTATGCCCTAATACCCTCTGTACAGAGCAAATTTGCCCAGTGGTGGAACATATATAGGCTGTTACTTTATCAAATAAAATAAAAATTAATACAATATCTTAAAATATACCTTCATGTTTATGAACGTATTCTCTAGAGGTATATTATATACATAAATTACGTGTCTCTTATTTATGTATCTACACAATGCAAACAAATATATTACATTTGTAAAATACATAGGTATTTCTTGTGTTATTTAATAGATGGATTAGCAGTTTGTATCATGTTATTAACAATTATTACGTCACTATGGAAAACATATAATTTTGTACAAATATTAACTTACATTTTTAAGTAATTTCAATATATAAAGAGAGGAGATTATTACTTAAAATTCATTCATTTTACTACATCTATCATGTAGTTATTATTTCCATACTAGACATGGATATCATGACTTGACAATAATTATGAAACGTTCATTATAGTGTTACTAAGTAAACATTTAACACATTTCTAGGCTATGAACTAATCTATACACTTGGAAATTAAATAGCAATCATTTCAGTTTCAGACTGTAGTACAGATCAATCATTCGGAGGAAGCGAAGCCCGACGTGCTACAATACCTGGATTTAGATCTACACACATCAAAGCCGACCTCGGCAAAGGTGATGGAAAGAATTACTTACCGTTTGTACATTTCCAGACAGGAATCGATGAATAATAAACTATGACACCACATTGCCGGCAAGATCCTTGAAGGACCTTCGGCATCAGCATTGACCTTCGCTCTCGAAGAGATCGGTTTGCACGTACGACGGCAATACAACGTGTAGTGCATCGAGTTACTATAATTACGTATACGGGTCGGGGCGGATCCGCTGCTATACATAACTGAATGTGATTTGTCACGGCGCGATGTCATCACTGTTTTGAATTCATCGACGACGCGGCCGCGCAATGCTTTAAATTGCGTACGATCGAAAAGCCAACTGTGGGTGGGCATTTATGTTGACAATAATTATCTTCGCTTACAGCACACCCACGGCAGGTCCATTGATGTGGTGCACGGGAAAACGATGTCCGCTGTGGAGGCGAACTCCGCATACAAAACCGTCGACTTCCTTAAGACGGAGGCCTTCAATATAACGAGACAAGACGCCGAAGCCTCTAGGAGCAGCCACCATTGAACGGGTATCACGGTATGCCGCACCAACATGAGTCGTTACTTTATAACACGAATAGTATAATTAAGGATCTTCCATCACGTGACACTCGACAGAGGAGAAGGGGCATCGGCAAAGAACACGAAATATCACAAGGGGCGCTTTTTCGTTTAACGCATGATTTCTAGCCGAAAAAAAAAGAGGGGCCGAGGGGTGGGTGTTAATAGATGCTATAAAAACGACCCCATATTTGTAATTAAAACAGGCTACGCGGGGACGTAATATTGTCGATTCAAGAATTCTTTTCCGAATCCTTTGCGTTTCGTAAACAAGTCAACTTACCGCAATGTATCTTGTTAAAAATAACCAGCCGAACTGTTTATTATTTATTTAAAACAATGTAAAACACGATGAATGATTTATTCGTAGCGGCGGTTGAATCGATTGATTTCTGAATAATGTACAACTTTGACGTCGCTCCGATCTGTTTGTATTGAATTTCAGATTTAATGAATTTCAATTTCATAGCCGGCAGACAAGTCGATATTTACATGTTTTATATTACCTAGTCATTTTCAATCGTCGCGCTCTTGTAGTAACGCTTTTGTGAAATAAGTTAAGATTCCGCGAAATACTACGATTTGTTTTTGGGGTTAGGGTTTCTGTTTAAGGTGTATTATATTAGCTTACGATATTTATTATTATCTTAATACTTCACGAGAAGTCGGTCGTTGGCGTATCGTAGTTTATACGATCCCAATAAAATGCTTACCTAATTGGGTGTTATTTGCAACAATTACTATGACATGTAATAAAATGATTATATTTTCATATTACATTTTTTTTAAACCATTTTAGCAAGTAACCATTCATTTTGCGCGTAGTTCTTTTAGGTGCAGTCTTTACTTGTGTAAAAGATATCAATTTATATTATGCTGTTGCTTCATAGTTTTTCGTGTACACCTGAATTTTAAATTATTGTCTTTATTAGCCGACATAGTATTAGGTTTTAATATATTTTTGAATATAATACAATATATCACAAACACTTTTAAGAAACCAGTGGAGCACGATAGCATAATATTATTGTTTAAAATATATTCGGGTGTCAACTATGCTGATCCAACTTATATTCTTTATTCTTTTCTATTCTTCTTATTTTAATCTGACTAATGAGTAGTTTATTACAAACCATGTTAGGATAATCTTTGTGTATATTTTAAGATTTAATTTATTACAGTCTAGAATTTTACTTCGCGGTCGGACGAAAAAGGGTTTTTATTTCATGATTCCAGACCGTTGTATAATTTTTAAAACGCACGCATTCGCGATGAACAATTCTCATGAAATGATACATCCACTATTCCCAAGCATCACTTGTTTTCATGAATCCAAATAGTACTTAGTACGTTGACCTTTATTAAGTTTACTTGGCTATTATATAAATTAAGTTGAACAGTTCAGCTTCACCAAATTACGGTAGTTTTTAGAATGGGCAATTTCTATGGTGCGCCACTCGTAGTTAATTGATTAATTGATTGATATGTTTTGATTGTGTCTTTTAATCTAGTTAATACGCCACTGTCAACAATTTTAGAACTCAGTGAATGCTTGTGTGTTAAGTCCCAAAAAGAAAACGTATAAATTAGTTGACTCAAAAATATAATAATACATTGATACGTATAAAAATATAATATCAACCAAGTAGGGTATCTACTTGGAACCTCTATACGTTGTAATTTACTCTCTTGACTTAATATTTGTAATTTTGAAGTATGTTAGTAAGAAAAGTAAGTGGTAGTACTAGTGTTACGATTTTGTACTTAAATGAAAAATTGCAAATATTAAAAAATAGTATTGTCAGTTTTTTAAACAATTTCCACCGATATCGTAGACCTAGTAGAGGTTTATTGCCAAAAGTGACGAGTTACTGTTTATTTCGCCTTTGATTTCGACTCTGACAATTTCGCCACTTGAATAAGTTATACCCGTTGGATTAAAAATATACCTATATATGTATATAGTGTTACTATTAAGGGTTTTTATAAGCACATATACACTTTTTCTACGTAAAGTGACGATGTATCGAAAATTAATTCGAGTAAGGAATACAGTTTCCTTCGTACGAAAGTATTATTGGTGCGTAAATGCGTTTTTGCTTACTATGTCTTAAACATCCTGTTCTGCTCAAAACGTTTACATCGCCGATAGTTCGCATAGGGTCTGCTATGATTTTTTATATTTTTAATAATACATCAAAACATCTCGTTTTTTTTAAATTCTTAATTGATATAACTAACAGACATTAACAAGACTGAACTTAAATTAAAGATAATAATTTCGTATAATGAGACTTTTTTTATTTAAAGCTAGTTCTGTATTACGTAAGTTATTACTATAAAATGCGGTCTGACGCATGGAAAATATACATAATAATTTTATTCATTTTCTCGTCAACCAAAGAGAATAAAGAAGAAAATACCACAGGGAAGAAAATACCACATTAGCTCAAAAATCATGGCAATATTTACTGTTCATTCAATATCGGTGATAACATTCCTTGTTCGTATGGATCACCCAGTCTGTTACCGACTAACCTGAACTACTAAGAAATGTCGCTTTAATACGGATACAATTTAAGGATAAGATCTTTAATTCCATTTTAATGTTATCGTAAAAGTGTTTTATGTAACACGAGCCAGTACGTGGCTGACACTCAAGAACCTTTCTTTCCCAATGGTTATCGGTTAACGATTTATTAAATATATAATATAGCCTATGTCATCCGGGGATTATGTAGCTTCCCAACAGTGAAAGAATTATTTAAATTGGTTCAGTAGTTTCGGACCCTATTCAATACATAATAAAATATTTCCTATTTATAATATTATTATAGATGACTGTTGGAATGGGTGATGATCTGTATAGATAGTTTATAATGAATTTTCGTGTCTGATATTTCGTGACAGTATGGCATTCCATCGTCAACGTTCCTACATTAGTGTTGGTATTTTTCTACATTGATTTTTTTAAACTTCAATTCGTTGTTAATAGGAAGCACGGACAGGCCTAATTAATTAATTAAACTATTTCGATAGCAATTAACGTAGGAAACAATCCAGTGTCATAATACCCAAGAGTCTGTAACGAAACGAATTAAAAGCAGCAGATAATTAAATTATAATAATGTGTTTTCATCGAATGGTGTACATAGATAACTAATAAATATGGACTACCCTCACTCATATTTACGTATATTTCCCCATGTGACTCTGTATTTACGCTTGTAATGTTCCGGTTTCCCAAGTTAGCGTTCCGCTTTGTCTGTACCGCCTAGTTATAGTAAAACACTACATATGTTGATACTTTGCCGAGTGTTACCAATCGTATGGAGAACGGCTGGCCTTGTTTCAAACAGAATTGTCGACGAAGCAGTCAAGTTTCCGGCTGGAACTGTGCGCACGTATACATTGTTTCGAACTATGTATTCCAAAGCAAACTCACACTAGGGCAGAATTCATTGTAGGTGTGGCTCACTGCTAGCCTTTTAGGTCAAAGTTACGATATACGCAATTCCGCTGCAACTCTATTGAGAACTTTTTTGCATTTAAAGGTTTTATTCAATTATATCTGAACCTATTGTGTTACAAATTCCTAAGCTCCTAATGCTTATTCGAAATATTACTAACCCAAAAACATATAAATTTACACAAGATGTTGAATGCTATGCCTTTTAGAAACGGCGGCAAAAAACAAATTGGTGGGTGTTATTTAATGGTGTTGTTATTATTTTTTATGAAATATTTTATAGGCATAAAATATGAAAAATAATTATTGTGACTACTATTTTCATCGATTCAAAGTCAAATCTGATACGCCGGTGTTTTAATGTTCATTTTTATTTATAATTTGTAAAAAGCAAATATGTATTCATCAAACTCTCCGAAGTAATTGTTCAGAGGTTCTCTTATGTCGGAATTTCAATTCATATTTTGTGAAGTACTGAGGGGCAGATTAACTTTACACTTTGTTTAACACTAAATAGACTAGATGTAAGTTGTATATGTGTGTTCTGCTAGCCTACCCATAGCTAATTTGAATGTAAATAAGGTATAATTATAATTAAACAGAATTGAAGCGCACAAATTGTCATTGTATTAATTGATATTAATCTTGTGTTCTTCGGTGATATATTTGTATTAAATAACATTATTTATTAAGAAATAAAAAAACGCAGTGGTCACTATTATAGCCTTAAAGATGTAGTTAATAGTTTAGGCACCGGACTAATTAATGCCGTGCCTATTGGAAAGTGAACTATTTAAAAGTGTATTTCTATGTTGAATTTATACGGCATAATCGTTTAAACATTATTATGTATTTCGTAATTGTATAGTCTATAATTTTCACCTAAAGTGTATCATAGTGATAACGATAGTTTTCGTCTCTTGACTTCTTTCCTTTCTTCTTATCTTCAGCCTCATAGCCGAGGACTACTGGGTTTGGTGAAATCTTATATTAGTGTAAAAACCTCTCGATGTATTATATTGCAACTGCATTGACACGCAGTTTAGCATATTTTAACCGTATCCTTGGTAAAGAACTGTGTTATATCAAGTTATTTAATGTAAGTTTATTTAATGTAATTAGTGCAATATGTGTATAACTTGATGTGAAAATATTCACTGTTTTATAGAGTTTTAAGTATGTATTGTCGTTAAAACCACAGCTTAAAAAGTGGTTAAGTCGTTCTCTATTGTTATAAATACATTGTACTTCTATTAGTATTGCATATTTAATTAGAATAAAAATTTCTTTGATAAAATCTGTAATCAAACACATCCTACAATGTTTTTTGTTATTATATTTTATTTTACTTAACCATATGATTATTTGAAATACTTGTCCCAGTGTTTTCTTTGTTGTAGAGATATTAACCAACTTCTGTTGCATTTGTTTTGGAAACAGCAAAGTTATCCCCCACTATTATCAGCTTTATATTTACACTAAGTATTATTGTA